TAAAATAATAGGTAAATTCAGATCGTTACTTTCAGTGACTTTGATCAAAATGCTGATTATCCGGAAAACATATCTTTGATATGTATCATGTTAATTTTGACAGATCGTCATTGTTGTTACCTTGAACAGTTTGCAATAAACATGACGATTTTCTCGGCTTCAAATGCTGTTTTGGCACAAAGAACAAGCAATTACTAATGGTTAGGAAGCCGAACCCAATTCAGTCGAACCAGATAAAACTTAAATCCTGTCCTCAAAACTTGGTACAAGCTAACATTAATACTTAAAGATTGAAATATCAAATTTGACCAAAATGCTGCGAGCGTATGATTTCCATCGTAATTCATATATTTGAACGTAGATAATTTCCAGACGTGTTGTCATGGGGATCAGCATTCGATGCCAGTCATTGTCAGTATTCTCTTTTTCTTTATGAAGGAATTCTAGAAGACGGAGTCGTTTTGTCTACGTGGTAATCTTTCATACACGACAAAGTATCATCTCAGGTAATACACAGAGTCGGACTTGATAGTGTTGGAGGCATGGAAAAACGGCATCCCATTTTCAAATGTATTCTTATGATAATAATCAAGTTTCACATATCTATCAGTGATCCGAGCAATTAATCATGGACTTATATATCTATAACTTAGTCCGTGATTGGTTAATCTTTTCTTCACTGTCTATTTTCCCGTGTATACTGGTGCCATCAGGACGCATTTGGCTAGTGTCGGCTTCACACACGAGGAGCATATCACTGTTAGGACGTAAAAGTTCTTTTCTGTTTCCAGTCGTCATCAGTCGTATATTTTTAGATCGACTAATTCAAGGCGATGAACTAAAATACGTAGCCCACAGTGACATACTTCTTTCATAATTCTACAGACCAAATTGAATATTTTTTCTTGAAAATACAGTACCTACTTCTGTAGTTGACTTTAAAGGATATGATAAAGTTTGAAAACTAATACCAAGGTCAAAATAGGGATATAATTAGAGACTTTTTTAATTACTTATTGCTGTATAATATCTACCTTTCATTTCACAGTTTAAAATGGAATTTCGAGGATTGCTGAAATCTTAAATGTTTAAAGGCAAGAACGGTAAAATAAATCTATTATTCTATCAATACTCTAACACAGAAGAGTTCTAATGTGTTAATAGAAGTCGCCCATCAATTTACAAGTATTGAAAGTTGTATACCTGTTTCCTGTTTAATGTAACGCGTGGGATTTACCCACAGTTAAATCAATTACGATAGTAATCTGTCAAAGAATAAAATGTAAATAAATTATACTGCAAACTTAGTTTTCAATTATTGTTGTCAGCTTAATGTGTGGTTGGAGGATGGAGTCGACCAGGGTTTGATTCCCCAGTCAGATTTAAATACTTGGGGGTCTCTTCCCGGGTATTCCTTAGGTCTTTGGTTCCCTCCCACAATGAGACCCAGCATGCGCTTCATTCTGGGCCAACAAGAATGATTCAGATCGAGTAAACGAGCACTTTCAGGTATTGTGGAAATTCAAAGTATTTCGAATTGAAATTCAACGAAACTCATTGTTGGTTTGAGAAAATACACAAACACTGATTCAAGAACCCAATTGTTCGCTATATTTGTATCTCTTTGTATTGAACACATTTTGACTCTGTCATCGTGTCTTTGAAAAGTGTTGTCACCGGCACAGCCGATCATTGCCTTCAACACAAAATAATGCTAACGTCATGTCGCACCCATTGACCTTCTTGTACTAACAGATTTATTTAGAATGGTAGCGACAGTGCTTGGTCATTCTGTAATATTGTGTCTGTAGAGCGTTGGTCGTGTTTATCACATTCTCTGATGACGTAGTTCGATCAAAGAACTCCTAAATAAACAAGGCCACAGACAGATATGTCGATTTCACAATACCTGTCAATATAGGTGTATGTCTGATTGATACTGTCGGGACCCCGAACACTTCCGAAATACAAGAGTTTCACTCTCGGTAGGCATGTCTACTCACACAGGAAATTTATCTAGAAAAAAATCAAAGCTCAAAGCAAAGCATTGCATTTGGTGTGTAATGAAAATAATACAAAATGGCTATGTTGTACGTCATTTTGACCATACCATGTTCTTGATTCATACATATTTTATTGATTCAAAAACAATGAAAGAGGTTGGGCACAAGTTCTGACAACTTACTAGGCCCTCTCATGACACAATCAAAGGGATTGGGCACAAGTTCTGACAACTTACTAGGCCCTCTCCTGACACAATCAAAGGGATTGGACACAAGTTCTGACAACTTACTAGGCCCTCTCCTGACACAATCAAAGGGATTGGGCACAAGTTCTGACAACTTACTAGGCCCTCTCCTGACACAATCAAAGAGACTGGGCACAAGTTCTGACAACTTACTAGGCCCTCTCCTGACACAATCAAAGAGACTGGGCACAAGTTCTGACAACTTACTAGGCCCTCTCCTGACACAATCAAAGAGACTGGGCACAAGTTCTGACAACTTACTAGGCCCTCTCCTGACACAATCAAAGAGACTGGGCACAAGTTCTGACAACTGACTAGGCCTTCTCCTGACACAATCAAAGAGACTGGGCACAAGTTCTGACAACTTACTAGGCCCTCTCCTGACACAATCAAAGGGATTGGGCACAAGTTCTGACAACTTACTAGGCCCTCTCCTGGCACAATCAAAGGGATTGGGCACAAGTTCTGACAACTTACTAGGCCCTCTCCTGACACAATCAAAGGGATTGGGCACAAGTTCTGACAACTTACTAGGCCCTCTCCTGACACAATCAAAGGGATTGGGCACAAGTTCTGACAACTTACTAGGCCCTCTCCTGACACAATCAAAGGGATTGGGCACAAGTTCTGACAACTTACTAGGCCCTCTCTTGACACAATCAAAGAGACTGGGCACAAGTTCAACACATACACAAACTATTAAATAGCATGAAAATGTAGCAAGAGAAAGAAAGGGTTGGGATGGAGGTGAAAGAAGGGGACAGGAGGATGTGGGTGGGTGGGGGTTCTGGTTGTAGTAACTGTCCACTAGTTAGTATCAAACCTCGAACTTGATTTTATAAATAACTGTACAGCAAGTACTATGTTACTATTTGTTTCAAGAGGAAGGTCAGCACCTCCCCATATGGGAATATACACTTGGGGACTGGATAGATACCAATGTTTGACAAAACATCAAACAATCTTATTCGAGGATAAGAACATTTTGAACAGACAAATAAATAATGGTATACATCTTCATTACCATCACCACACTGACATTTATGTGAGACACAAATACTTACGCGGAGTAAATCCCTTTTAAGACCACTACACTTTTATCTAATTCATTCCAAAACAACAGAGACGTATCGAATACCAACGATAAGATAATTTGGTAAAACACGTGGCACTGCTGATATTTTGGTATTAAATATAGGTGATGAGGCACTTTTCACATAATTACCATAACTATTTCATAAATTAATGAAATTTTCAAATTGATTTTCATAGTATCTGTATTTTTTCTATGAATTAATTAATCACAGATTTATTTAAGTTGCCTATTAAGCGTAAGTGTTTGTACATCAATAAAACTTTAATTTATTATTGTTATATATGTAACCTTGTCTTATTGATCTTTGTTCTGTTACTATTAAGTCAATATAAAACAGGATGACTACATCTGTAGTACAACTATATAAATAAGTATTTAATTAGTGTCGACAGTCTACCTACGGATTAGTACCGTAATACTTGTCGATTAATTTTCTATCAAAGCTAGACTGTGAATAAGTTGTAGATTAGAATAAGTCGTGTTATCTTATTATTTTCAATGATTTTCACTACAGTACGCATTGTAGTTTGACTGACTGTAAGACAAAAACATACTTATGAATGAATGAACGAAGGAAAGAACGTATGAATTCATATCTTATTTATTTATATGAAAATTTCTAGCGGACAAAGATATTTGTGTAATTTTGCAAACTTGTCTTTTGAAAGGTCACATTCTATCCCATTCTCGACACTCCAGGGATTACGCTCATTATCGCTCTCTGCACCTCTGGAACATTTCTTGGCAAAATTGAAGGCACGATCGAAGTACTTTGATTGGTCGAGATCGGGTTTCGGGAGAAAATATCACTGACCAATCACAGATTGTACGCGCCTACGAAAAGTACAAACGAGGGATATCCAACTTCAAAACCAGTACAACATACATAATCCACTGGTATGAGACTTCGAAATCCGTTTGATGTACATCAAAGGATCAAACTACATTTTGTATTCTTCTCGTCTTATCTACAATGTGTCGGAAACGGAACCTTCAATTTTGCCCTGAAATGTTCCAGGGGTGAAGAGAGCGAAAGTGACTGTTTTAGTTTTCAAAGTCATCTTTACACATTTCTGATTGTTTAGTGAAATAAAGTATAAAACAATAGCAGACCGAATGTTTTCAATTTGGACTCATACCTTTAATACTTTTCAGAGCGTATTTTGATTTATAAAGTGTGTCAGAGAATGATGAATCTATTTTGGCCCTTACAATCACGTCGTCCTTTGTTTGAATATAATAGCAATATTTTTAAATAGATTATCCGTTTGAAAATGAGATGTATTAATTACATGGCGCCAATCAGATGCAGTAATGTTTTATCAATACCAAGATCTAACATTGTGGATCATTAATTAACTATGCGGCTGGCAAACATATTATTGGTGTCCATGACAGTGTAAAATAACTACATATATATATTGATATATCATCAATATTTATGTATGATTTTTTGTCTCTTTACAGAGAGCTGTCGATGACCATAACAGTGAGGAATAAAGAGTGAACGCCAGTAACAAAACACCGCTAAATTGGTGGACATTCGAACCAAACGCACCAGAACAATATTGTCAATCGACAATAGTATTGGTGTGTTCAGTGCGTGCTTGGTTATAAAGAACGCCCTGATAAAAACTAATCGTTAGCTCAGTAATTATGAATGACGATTTCTCTCGGTATCATATACCTAATGTTACCAGTAATCACTCAGCAGTTCTGGATGTATTCGACACATCTACCATGGGAAATTACGTTGCTACTGTGGAAGAAGTTTCAGGACTTCAGAAATTTGAAGACTGGTATAAACCTATTCACGGATACTTAGCGGCTATTGTTTGTGTTTTCGGTGTGATAGCTAATATACTGAATATTGTAGTTTTGACTAGAAAAAATATGCAGACTTCTACAAATGTGATTCTGACTGGATTAGCTATATCAGATGGCGCGACCATGGCCGCTTATTTCCCTTGGGTTCTGTGGATGTACATTATATACGGCACTGACGTCAGTCCAAAACGGGACACGCTCGAATGCGCACATTTTCAGATGTGGTACGCCATTTTTAGTGTGATTGTTCACTCTATATCAATATGGCTTACCGTCACCCTCGCCGTATTCAGGTAAGTATGAGAATCGGTATTTTTTATTGTTTCCGGTTTTACCGGAAGTTGATGCTGTTTGGTTATCCCGATTCCTGTTCACGCTAAACTTTGTGAAGTATCTGGTAACGTTCACATTTTATCCATTTTCCACTTCAATTAGCAAAGTAGTTTGTGACATCACATCCGCATGTTGCGGAAGTTTCTAGTTGTGTTCAGGGTAGAATATAATTGCTGTATTGTAGACAACACATCCCACTTGTAATTAGCATTGACAATCATTACAACTGAAATTGATTAATCAGACCTAATTAGATTCCACATTTAACAATCGGTATGGTTTAGAGGTCAGGTTTGCTTAATTCGTGCTATATATGGCAGCCAAACATGTTTAAACTAGATCCAAATATTTTTTTTTCTGTCAATTCTGATGAATGACATAAAAAGAAACGAAGTGACCTGTACTGTTGTGGCTATCCTTTGGCAATTCACGTTCATTTCTCTGGGTGCCATGCAACTTGATTCGCGTATGTTGTTAAGTGTAGTAGTCTACAGCTACCACAAGGATACCTCGTCTCAAAATGAGGCTGGCTGTTCACAAAGTGATGTACCCTGCAAAATAAACAAACAACAAACCAGAAGAAAAGAGATGCATCGTTTTTTATTTTTCTGTCATGTTTTGTTGATTTTGTTCTTAAATCTGAAGACACATTAAACGTTACATAATCTGGAAGTAGTTTATAATAAATATTGTTAAAAAGATTACAAATGATACTTCGTATTGTGGTTTTTAGATATTTAACGTCATGTGCCTGTACAATTTATATTCAAATACTTCGTTACAAAAGACACAAAAGTAATCAGCAGCTTTGAATATACATACAGATACGATGTTTTGTCTTTACTCAAGGTCACTAATGTGATACTAGAAGCTAAGAATATAGAAATTCAGCAAGGGGCCATGGAAATCAAATTTGGGTTAGGCAAATGTCAAAATGTGAAATAATGTAAAATGTGTTAATTTCATATTTCAATCAATATTCCAGAAAATAACAAATAAGTCAAAAACATCTTGTTGTAGGCCTGAAATTCAATTTGAAAATTTGAGGATGTAATAATGATACTCTAAATTCTTTGTTCTTAAGCAAAGTACGTTCTTAGCTAAGAATTTCTCAAAGTTGTCCCAAAATTTATCAACATTTTTTGTAATTTTTGAAAAGTAACTAACGAGAGTTAATGTAATGCCATAAACAACAAACACTAGTTTGTATGACCTATTTCTACCACAACTATTCTGACAATGATTTGATGTGCCCACGGGTGCTTTGTTTTGAAATTATCTGTACTAAAATGCTGCTAATCAATTTTTAAAGATGACAATTCCAGATGTATGTGGAAATATTAAAATTTGTTACAAAAATATAATTCCCGGGTTCATTATCGTCACAGCAATAAAACAATAGAAATCCATATAAAACAATAGAAATCCGTATAAAACAATAGAAATCCATATAAAACAATAGAAATCCATATAAAACAATAGAAATCCACATAAAACAATAGAAATCCGTATAGAACAATAGAAATCCATATAAAACAATAGAAATCCATATAAAACAATATAAATCCATATAAAACAATAAAAATCCATATAAAACAATAAAAATCCATATAAAACAATAGAAATCCGTATAAAACAATAGAAATCCATATAAAACAATAAAAATCCATATAAAACAATAAAAATCCATATAAAACAATAAAAATCCATATAAAACAATAAAAATCCGTATAAAACAATTGTCACGAAAAAACAACTGCGAACTACTTTTAGTGTATACACGTTTTAAATTCCGAGGATGCTTGAAGTACTTTTCCCGCCAAATTGTTCATTCTTGTAGCAGACGTAATAACGATAAGTATTAAACAAAGGAGACAAAAAATGGAGAAGAAATTAAAACGTGTGGGAGTTAAATTAAACACTCACCTGCTGAGGCAGAAGGTGAAATAAAGGGATTTATTCACATTCCATATCTTATGTTACCAATCATGTTCAATAACCTTAAATGACAGAACTTTTGAACAGTATTTTGGTTACTTATTCTATGTCTTCAGAAACATACAGTCTCAGATGAACACGAGATATCGGCTTCTCGTCTCGCCCCCTAGAATTCTGACTGACTGTATTTTTGTACAGAAACTATTCAAATGACTTGTTTTGTACGAGCTAAATAAGTTCATCTCTCATAAAAAATGTCAGTCTTTAAAAAGTTTACATGCGAATTCAATTCCTTTCGACATGCAGTTTAGAGTGAGTAAAATAATGTGTCCTGGCTACCGTTATTCTGTAAGGAACATTTTTCCCGTTTAAATACACAGTAGGAACTATTTATACAGTAAGATGACGTAAAAAGTATTCGCACAGAATTATCTCCCTTCTAATTATATTGCCTTTCATTTTGCAACGGTCCGACAACTGGAAGCAGTACTCCATAGGAAAAATCAAACTTGATAGTTTCAGGTTGATTTTGTTTTACGGAAAGACAATAATAACAAATCAATTCGCCTAACAGTACATTTTGTCATATGCGTGCTAGAATGAGTAAAGTGTCATTATCTATTAGAGTTATCTCCCTTAAATGAACGTACAACATCCGGCTTTTATTTAATTACTAATTACAAGTTACGACTGCGTTCAGAAGTACGGAGTATAAGCTGTAGATTTATATTGATTTTTATTATAATACCTTGGCTTTGAAAATAACCTGATACCGTAGGGAAACTTTACTTCAGTACTAAACACATTTAATGACAAAACACCGACTTTATCTTTGAAGAGACGATAACATAAAGCAGGCGAAATTCCCGTAAAAACCAGACAACCTAGAAATAAATCAAATTAAACACTGCCGTACATTTTTTTTCATTTTATTCGTTTACAAATAAAACCGTAATAGATATCCATGCATTGTTTCAGTGAAATACATATACCTTGGTTTCATTATGGCGAATAATAACTAATTGATACGATGTACCATATAGGTTAGCTAATCTTACGTTCACTTCTTAGGCTTTGTCTGCTTAATATTGATTCTAAAACCTATTTCTTTCATATTTTCAGGTACATTTTCATCCGTTTCCCAAGACGAGGAACACGATATTGTAATATACAGAGAGCAAAACTGGCAGTTGTCATCGTTGTCGTCGTCGTAATCATCGTCTGTATTCCAAACTCCGTAAATTATGAGATTTATGACGGAGTGGCGAGTGTAGTTGTGCCGGAGTCCCGATGGGGAAACGAGACAATATATTGGGTAACTCATAAGAAAACGACCCAATTTCAAGTATTCATCAATAAATTCAATTTCTGGGTTCAAGCATTACTGGTGAAATTACTACCTTGCGTAATGCTCACGGTTTTCAGTTTTCTACTGGTGAAGACGATGAGAGATGCCGAAAAACGCCGGAAGAAGTTATTGAGCAAGACCCCAATCTCTGATGGAGAAAGTGGCGCCACCTCGAGTGGGGGAGGAAACCACAAAAAGAACAAGAAAAGCAACAGGAGTAATAGAACAACGACCATGTTGCTCCTGGTCGTGTTGTTGTTCATTCTTACGGAGACCCCACAAGGAGTTTTGAATGTCCTAAGCGACCTCATAGATGGCTTTTACGCAAATGTATACACCCCTCTCGGGGATCTTCTTGACATTATGGCCTTGATCAACAATGGAATTAATTTTGTTCTCTATTGCACCATGAGTAAACAATTCAGAGACACTTTTTTCAACATTTTCCTTCGGAACTCTCCAGGCGATCGACGAAAGACTACGACAACGTATATTACTACGCAACAGACTCATGCTACCAAGGACTCCGACGTGTAACGCACGTGTTAATAAAATAAAGGATGAGTGCATGGACGTGTAAATCGCCAATGAATTGTAAATTTATATGATAAACTGGTTGTCATAAAAATTCAAAATGGATAAGTGTGGGCGTATGATTCACTCGTGCTTTTAGGTATCTCAGACATTGCCATTTTCAAAAACATGTTATTTTTTTAAGTAAAATCACGAGATGATTATAAAGAATGCACGTGCATTGACTTGAGGACGCACGTGATATGAACAAAAACTCGCCATCACGTGATATGTAAAATATGTGTACAATGTTAACAGGTTATGGTTTATGAAAATTTTTACTTTATGTAAAAGAATACAGTAATTTAATAGGAGAGTGACAATATACAGTATATTTAATAGGACAGTGACGATATACAGTATAGTTAATGGGACAGTGACAATATTCAGAATATTTAATGAGACAGTGACAATATTCAGAATATTTAATGGGACAGTGACAATATTCAGAATATTTAATGGGACAGTGACAATATACAGTATATTTAATGGGACAGTGACAATATACAGTATATTTAATGGGACAGTGACAATATTCAGAATATTTAATGAGACAGTGACAATATTCAGAATATTTAATGGGACAGTGACAATATTCAGAATATTTATTGGGACAGTGACAATATTCAGAATATTTAATGGGACAGTGACAATATTCAGAATATTTAATGGGACAGTGACAATATACAGTATAGTTAATGGGTCAGTGACAATATACAGTATAGTTAATGGGACAGTGACAATATACAGTATAGTTAATGGGTCAGTGCCAATATTCAGTATATGTAATGGGACAGTGACAATATACAGTATATTTAATGGGACAGTGACAATATATAGTATAGTTAATGGGTCAGTGCCAATATACAGTATAGTTAATGGGTCAGTGCCAATATACAGTATAGTTAATGGGACAGTGACAATATACAGTATAGTTAATGGGACAGTGACAATATTCAGAATATTTAATGGGACAGTGACAATATTCAGAATATTTAATGGGACAGTGACAATATACAGTATATTTAATGAGACAGTGACAATATTCAGAATATTTAATGGGACAGGGACAATATACGACATATTTAATGGGACAGTGACAATATACAGGATATTTAATGGGACAGTGACAATATTCAGAATATTTAATGGGACAGTGACAATATACAGTATATTTAATGGGGCAGTGACAATATACAGTATATTTAATGGGACAGTGACAATATACAGTATATTTAATGGGACAGTGACAATATACAGTATATTTAATGGGACAGTGACAATATACAGTATAGTTAATGGGTCAGTGACAATATACAGTATAGTTAATGGGACTGTGACAATATACAGTATAGTTAATGGGTCAGTGCCAATATTCGGTATATGTAATGGGACAGTGACAATATACAGTATAGTTAATGGGTCAGTGCCAATATACAGTATAGTTAATGGGTCAGTGCCAATATACAGTATAGTTAATGGGACAGTGACAATATTCAGAATATTTAATGGGACAGTGACAATATTCAGAATATTTAATGGGACAATGACAATATTCAGAATATCTATGGGACAGTGACAATATTCAGAATATTTAATGGGACAGTGACAATATTCAGAATATTTAATGGGACAGTGACAATATTCATAATATTTAATGGGACAGTGACAATATACAGTATATTTAATGAGACAGTGACAATATACAGAATATTTGATGGGACAGTGACAATATACGGTATATTTAATGGGACAGGGACAATATACGGTATATTTAATGGGACAGGGACAATATACGGTATATCTAATGGGACATATATTTATTCATACTATGTTATCTGTCTATTTAATGGTGTCGTAATGTTATCATGACCTTGTAATATACTATATATTTCTCATGCTTTTTTAATCACTTTTAATGGTTCTTATTCCATATCTCTAAGCTGGATAATATCATTTCATTATTTGCCTTCACCGAACAGTGAACAGTTTCAACGTTAGAACTTTAAGCTGTTGATTTATCATTGTTTTCTCTCCTTTTCCACCAAATATCAAGTAGAGCAGATTATATTATTTACATTTCCTGATCCAGGAAGTGCATCGACCCCCTAATATAATTGTATTTGTAAAATCTCCAAAAATAGTTGAAATGTTTCGCAATCTCTGCTGTCCGTCACTGAAGTAATTCATTACAGTTAACATGAATACACATTGCTTGTTACTTTGAAACGTTGACATAGAACAAGAAATACTTAAATGTTGTGTTCATTTTATAGCACAAAATAATGCATATCATACATTGTTATATCTATCGAAAATGCACGAGAGGCCACAATGATATATATATATAAGGTAATTATATTGGTAAGTTTGTGAAACAATCAAATAGTGCTATGAAGTTTTGGGTATATCGATTTTTATAAGTTTTATAAGGAGCTTCAGACATTAACCTGGCATCCCGTAGTCTATAATATATTGATTGTTTTACCTGCTTAACCTGACACCCCGTAGTATATAATATATTGATTGTTTTACCTGCCTAACCTGACACCCCGTAGTATATAATATATTGATTGTTTTACCTGCCTAACCTGACACCCCGTAGTATATAATATATTGATTGTTTTACCTGCTTAACCTGACACCCCGTAGTATATAATATATTGATTGTTTTACCTGCCTAACCTGACACCCCGTAGTATATAATATATTGATTGTTTTACCTGCCTAACCTGACACCCCGTAGTATATAATATATTGATTGTTTTACCTGCCTAACCTGACACCCCGTAGTATATAATATATTGATTGTTTTACCTGCCTAACCTGACACCCCGTAGTATATAATATATTGATTGTTTTACCTGCCTAACCTGACACCCCGTAGTATATAATATATTGATTGTTTTACCTGCTTAACCTGACACCCCGTAGTATATAATATATTGATTGTTTTACCTGCCTAACCTGACACCCCGTAGTATATAATATATTGATTGTTTTACCTGCCTAACCTGACACCCCGTAGTATATAATATATTGATTGTTTTACCTGCCTAACCTGACACCCCGTAGTATATAATATATTGATTGTTTTACCTGCCTAACCTGACACCCCGTAGTATATAATATATTGATTGTTTTACCTGCCTAACCTGACACCCCGTAGTATATAATATATTGATTGTTTTACCTGCCTAACCCGACACCCCGTAGTATATAATATATTGATTGTTTTACCTGCTTAACCCGACACCCCGTAGTATATAATATATTGATTGTTTTACCTGCTTAACCTGACACCCCGTAGTATATAATATATTGATTGTTTTACCTGCCTAACCTGACACCCCGTAGTATATAATATATTGATTGTTTTACCTGCCTAACCTGACACCCCGTAGTATATAATATATTGATTGTTTTACATGTCCAAACCCGACATCCTGTAGTATATAAGATATAAATTATGTTAATAAATGGCAATCAGAACAAATTTAAGAGATCTAGAAAAAATAGAATCAGAAAAGCTTGTGTAATGATTACGTACCGACTTATTTTCTCTGCGAGAAAATGGTGCTTATTGATGACAAAATTTAAATTTTATCATTTTCCTTTTGTAAAAATTGAAATTCTACAAACTTTCTATTTTGAAATATTAAATGTGTCTTGAACCGCAGAAAATGTTTTAATCTTGTAAAGATAGGACGAAAACAAATATTTATTTTATTATTATTCACGCTTTGCTGACGTTAAGTTGGAGTGTAAAGAACGATAACTCTTGATGGACACTCTCGGGCTCTGTTAATCGAGGTATAAGGTGTTCCGATCACCTTTAGGGGTGTAAAGAACGATAACTCTCGGATGCGAAGTATATCAATGTAGTTCTGTTATTATAGTGAATTGTTTTATTTGCCTTGTTATTTATCCTCTCCATACAATTCTTCTAAAACCTCATTCGTACCTGTTTTATCAGGTTTGGTTATATATCTGATCATTCACTCTTACTTCAGATTTACAGGTGTTCATTAGGAGACTAAGCACAAGTTACTGTAATTTATCTCTGCCTCTGATGAGAAGACATTAAAAGAATGACAAAATCATTGTAAATTACACTTAGATGTAATCAATATCAAACTCAAACACAATTTTGTTCACCTTTTTCGCTGTTACATTAAGTGTTGAATAAGATTGATTTCGTTGTTTCCTGATTGTCCGTGACCATGTAACTGACAATAATGGGGTGGCATTGTAACCCATTATTGTCAAAACTGAAGAATGTATCCATATAGAGTCTCAATACCATATTTTTGTCAACACTTTTATTTGATTTTACGTAAAGAGTTATAATTGAAAATTTTAACAATTGGGACGATACATTTGCTAACGTTGTCAATTTCACACAAGTATTTCTTGTCATAACGACTACTGTATACTTAATTTGTCAATTAACAATCACTGCTGATTAAACGCACCAGAAATGATATTCCTAGATACAGGAATCTTTTTATCCTTTAGCTCTACTGACTCAGTAATTATATAATTAAATGTATGGGTTCCTCAAACAATTGTTTATAACTTAACCACGAGTAAATGTGTGTGTATGCGTCATCAGTTACCTTTAATTAAGACAAATGAGATATAATATGTATTGTTCTTTACACAACATGTATTTCTTAACTGCTTTTGCTGAATGTAATTTTTTTTTCGTATCCATATATATTTCACGTGGGAGAGATGAACAAGATGTGCTATATCGGACGGAATAGTAAAGATAAGTTATATTTAAACTTATCTTTTATATAATATGTATAAACTCTTCTGTACAATCAAAGTGTTTGATGACGTCATTTTATATATGTTGTAATGACGTCATCTTGTCGTGTTATTAATAAAAACATTTCAGATATAACGTCTCTTTATATGGACAGAGAATAAATATATTTAATCACCATGTACAAAGG